CTCTTTCTATGTCTCTCCCCCTCCCTTCTACTCTTCCTAAAAAATAGAAAAAATATCCTTGGGTGAGGATTAACAACAACAATAAAAAAGAACATATCAGGACCAATGATAGAAAAGATTTTGTAACACCTATGCATGTTCATTATCCAATCCACCTGCCAAAACTAATGCCAATGGATAACCACATAATCTCACGTTATGACAAGCTATTGTACAGTAGTGGTATCAGAATTATCCGAGACATTTCTCTTGTTTTAAGACACAGATCTGAGGACCATGCCCACAGAGATTCTTTTTAACAAGTCTGGAACGGGACCCAGGAACGTGTGATGTCAGAAGGTTTCTGATATGTAAGAGTTCGGAAGTCATTGCTAGTCACTGGAGTTTCAGAAATGTAAAGAGTGAGCGTGAGAGACAGACTTGAGCTCAAAGGTAACTTGCACCTGTGGGGGCCAGGAGGGGGAGGACAAGGTCACTGGGCATTGAGAACTGCCTCCCTGCTTTGTGAAGCGGCAGCTACGCTTGGTCCTTGGAAGACGGGTGAGTCCCTCGCTGAGAGGTCTCTCCCAGGACTTGCAATCTCAGTGGGCTCCAGGCCACAGCAAGGCTGGCAAGGGCGCGGTCCTGGATTAGATCCGCCTCAGTTTGTGTCCGGCTCTACCAGCTAATGGTTATATACCCTTACATGTCCTTGACTCCCCCAAGTCTGTCTCTTTCTCTCTGAATTAAACATAATACTTTTCTCACTGTTGTGAGGATTCAAGGAGCACAGCTCTGCAAAGCACGTAGTGCCCAGCGGAGTGCAGTGCCTGAGAGGTACGGGATGTTGTCTGTCTACACGCGGAGCATCATTGCTATTAGCCTCTGAGAGAGAAGAGCAGCAGAGTCCTGGCTGTCTGGTCCAAGATGCACCTCATCAACTCCAGCTGGCAGTGTCCTGGGAGGGCTGTCTCTCCGGCACACAGAGTGACTTCAGCAGCTGAGAAACACCCATGTCCTCACAGGCCAGGTCAGGGAAAGCCAGTGAGCCTCCTTTCTGTGTCTCCCACTTTCCAGAACCTGGCAGAGTTTGATGAAGACCTCCATGCTCAATCCCCAGACCCTGGGAATCCTGGAAACATTTTCCTCTCTCTCCGCGTCGGATCCTGCTGGGCATCTCCTCCTCCTTGAAGCCACCGCACCTTTATCCTGAGAATCCCAGGAGCCCTCCTTGGTCAAGGTCCTTCACAAACTCTACATTAAATGACAAGTGTCCTTATGAAAAGAGGAGGCGAGACCATGGAAAGCCACATGAAGACAGAGGCAGAGATTGGGGTCATGCTGCCACACACCAAGGAACGTGGGGCCACCAAAAGCTGGAGAGACAAGGAAGAAAGTCTCCCCCAAAGCCTTCAGGTGGTGCCTGGTTCTGTTGACACCTTGATTTTGGACTTCTGGCCTCCAGAACTGTGAGAACATTAATGTCCATTGTTTTAAGTTACCAGGTTTGTGGTAATTTGCTAGGACAGCGCTAGGGAGCTAATACACTCATCCTTCAGGGCTTGGTTCATCCATCATCTCCTCCAGGCAGTCCTCCCTGAGTTTCTCCTGCCATCGCACCCCTGTCAGCTTATATCAGACTAGAGGCCCAGTGCACGTCCCTCGGCCTGGCCTGCGGGGATTGTGCCGAAACTGGCTCTCCGACATCCCCTGAGGGGTCCCGGATTGCGAGAGGGCACAGGCCAGGGTGCAGGCCAGGGTGAGGGACCCCACCGGTGCACAATTAGGGCCAGGGAGGGACCGTGGGAGGGCTCCAGGGTGTGTCTGGCCCATTTCACCCAGTCCCAAATGGCCGGACCCCAGCAGCAAGCTAACTTACCAGTTGGAGCATCTGCCCCCTGGTGGTCAGTGCATGTCATAGCGACTGGTCAAACGAATGGTCGGACACTTAGCATATTCAGCTTTTATTACATAGGATTCCCTGTTTGACTCCATCTCACTCAATAAACTCCTAAAGACAGCACATGGGGTTCTGTTCCCAACTGTAATATGGGCACTGCTCCAGGAATGGATCAGGTGCACATCTAAACCCAAGCATTACGATCTCAGCCCCTGTGCGCCTCCTATGGTGTGGACATTATGCCAGGGACTACCAAGCATTACCTCATTGAGCCCCTCAACAAGCCTAGGAGGTAGGAGCCATCATTTCTGTTTTATAGATGCAGAAACTGAGGGGCAGCAACTTGCCCAAGACCATCCGTTAGCAGAATTAGAATTTGTATCCAGATTCTTTAACTCACAGGTCCCAGTCAGCATGAGCATGACATTTTCAAAAGACCAGTAGCCAACTTGAAGAGGGGTATTGGGAAAGAGTGGGGAGAAGGTGGGGTTTTAATTAGCTAGTTTTTTTGTTCGCTTGTTTTTAGATATATTTTTATTGATTTCAGAGAGGAAGGGAGAGGGAGAGATAGAAACATCAATGATGAGAGAGAATCACTGATTGGCTGCCTCCTGTGCTCCCCACACTGGGGATAGTGCCCACAACCTGGGCATGTGCCCTGATCAGGAATCAAACCGAGACCTACTGGTTGGGTCAATGCTCAACCATTGAGCCACGCAGGCCAGGCTTAATTAGCTAGTTTTGAGACAGAGCCAGTGTGTGTATGTGTGTGTGTGTGTGTGTGTGTGTGTGTGTAAACGGGAATGAGGGTCATAGGTTAGCAAACTCCAGATTAACTCATCATGCAGCATTAATATATTACAGCAGCTTCAATTCTGAGGCCTGGGAGAAGGGGCCCTGTGATGCAAGGGGAGTAAGAAAGGAGAAGGGAAAGCAGCAGAAAAAAGAAGGAAGAAAGCTGTGTATGGGAGGGTTGGGGGGCATAGCTCTGCTAAGTTGGGAAGCAGAACATGTTTTCCTTTTACTCTCCCCCTTCCTCTTGCCCAGGCCTCTGCCCACTTCTGGTGGCCTTGTTGCCAAGGCATCAGAGAGTACACAGGTGCTGTCTGAGCACCTGCTGTGGCATTTACCCAGGTGTGGGAGGCTAAATAATGTCCCCCAAAGACATCCACGGTCCCATTCCTGGAACCCATAAACGTTACTTTATATGGCAAACGAGGACTTTGCAGATTTGATCAAGTGAAGCACCCTGAGCCGGGAGATTATCCAGATGGCCCGAAATGCAACTCTAAGTGTGGGTACCAGAAGCAGGAGATCTGACACAGGGAAGAGAAGGCCATGTGACTGCGGAGGCGGGGACTAGAGGAAGGCGACCACAAGCCAAGGGACGCTGGCAGCCATGGAGCCATGAAGACAAAACCAGATTCTCCTCTAGCTCCTCCCCGCCCCCCAGGAAGCATGCGTCTGCTGACACCTGATGGCAGCCTGTGATCCTGAGGGCACACTTCTGACCTCCAGCTTGTGAGAGAGAAGTTTCTGTTGTTTTAAGCCACAAGTTTACGGTAATTTTTTATAGCAGCCACAGGAAACAAATACACCAGGTTTTACTCGTCTTAATCAAAACTTGTCTCCTCTTTATGGGACGTTCAAGAGGAACAAAATCCAGTTACATCAATTCAGCCAAAACTCCTCAGTGATCACTTCTGGATGGTCGCTCAAATGAACACAGAGCAAAAGCTGTAATTATCAGCTCCCAAAGAAAGCCAGTTGCCTAGAACCGTGGTCAGCAAACCGCGGCTCACGAGCCACATGCAGCTCTTTGGCCCCTTGAGTGTGGCTCTTCCACAAAATACCACGTGCGGGCGCACACGTACAGTGCGATTGAAACTTCGTGGCCCATTCGCAGAAGTCGGTATTTTGTGGAAGAGCCGGTATTTTGTGGAAGAGCCACACTCAAGGGGCTCGCGAGCCGCGGTTTGCTGAGCCGCAGTTTGCCGACCACTGGCCTAGAATAATCAAAGCCCATTATGGACACCATTCACAGCATCTGTAACATACTTCTAAGTGATGTTAACATAAAAAATAAAAGGGAAAGCAATACCTTTATCTATCCTGCAATCTCCCTAAAAGTATTCTTTCTCCCTCAGTGGTTATAGTTACACTTCCCCTAGTTCTTTTATATATATATTTCAGAGAGGGAGAGAGAGTTAGGAACATCAATGACGAGAGATAATCATTGATCGGCTGCCTCCTGCATGTCTCCCACTGAGGATTGAGCCTGCAACCCAGGCATATGCCCTACCCAGGAATCAAACCATGATCTCCTGGTTCATAGGTCAATGCTCAACCACTGAGCACACCAGCCAAGCTCCCCTAGTTCGTTTAAAAGTCCAAAAGTAAATGGTGAACTATGATCCGATGGGGCCATGTGAGAGACTGCTATAGAATTAGCTCCAGCATTGATGCCCAAACAATCCTGGAGGCTCTGGTCCCAGTTTTCCTTCCTTCAACACAACCACACTGAGCTAAGCGGTGTGAACGTGACCTCAGGGAATCAGAATCTGCATTTAACAAGATTCCCGGTTGATTTGAGCACTTCAAAGCTTGAGAAGAACTGCTCAGGCCAAAGCTGGAGGCCACCATTTGGCATTGGACAGCTGATGGCTACCTGATGGGCAAGTCCCAGGTAGGAATGGCCACCCCGGAATGACAGCAAGAGAGCCAAGGTGGGGACTTGCAGGCTGTACTCAGTGGGATGGATTGAAAGGCTCCCCCCAGCGAGGCGGCTTGCTAGCCCTGCTTGTTCCAATTCTGTACAGGGTGTTCATGGCGCTGTCCCCTTCCATAACGCAATGACCATGTGCGTGCATGTCTCTCCAGGAGTCTAAACGCAGACTAATACAGTGTGGCCTTGACTTACGAGTTTAATTCGTTCCGTGATGGAGCTCGTAACTCAAATGACTCATATGTCAAATCATTAAAGTGAACGAGTGAGACACGTGATGCTGGGCTGATGTTGTGGCGTTCACTGTGACGTTCGCTGCGCTATCGGTGGGGTATCTGAAGCTGGCTCATAACCCGAATTTTAGCTCGCAACTCAAAGCAAAAAATTGGGCGAGAGATGGCTCATATCTCGAAAAACGCGTTAGTCGGGGCACTCGTAAGTCAAGGCCCCACTGTATTTAATCAGCGTCGTCTAATTTCTACGTAGTCTTCCTTCCCAGTTTTGCTTTGATTTTGATGCTTATCGTTCGAATCACTTGAAATGACTGTTGTGGAGAGGCTACGCACTTAGAGCCTTTTTCAGGCTCACACGCCGGGAGAACACAGCTGGCCAGCAAGCACTAGGAGACGTCACCTGTGAGGGGCGTCCAAAGGCTCATTTGCCCAATTTTGGTCAATTTAAGAAATTACTGTGGCTTTTTCAGGGAGAGTGAAGCTTTCTTAGCAATGAGATAAAAATATGAAAATAGCCCTAGCTAGTTTGACTCAGTGGATAGAGCGTTGGCCTGCAGACTGAAGGGTTCCGAGTTCGATTCTGACCAAGGGATGCCCGGGTGGTTGTGGGCTCTCGATCTCCAGTGTGGGGCATGCAGGAAGAGCCGATCAATGATTGTCTCTCATCACTGATGTTTCTCTCTCTCTCCCTCTCCCTTCCTCTGTGACATCAATAAAAATATATCTTAAAAAATATGAAAATACCATACAACCCTGCAAACCCCACAAATACTGGTCTATTAGAGCCACTTAACAAGAAGAGGTTTCCACGCCAAATAATGCCTTTCGTCGAGTAGGAAAGCCTGGTTTTAGGTGCCTTGCCTATGTTTGCTGACTTCCTTCCAGTGGCCACCTGTGACCTGTAGGTACAGAACTTGTCTCCATTTTACAGAAGAGGAAACTGAGGCACAGCAAGATTCAGGGACCAGCCCAAAGCTTCGCCCTGTAGGTGGTGGAGCTGAAGTTTGAACTGTCTGGTTCCAGTGACCACCGCTGTTTGTTGCTCTGCTCTCATTTTGGCGGAAACCAGGTTAAGATCGGGGACACTCTCACCACCCCAAGGAGGAGGGTGAATGAGGAGATGGCGAGGAGGATCTCTGCCCGCACTACCCGAGGTTCCAGCCTTCAGGCTGGTAAGGGAAAAAGGGAACCCCCTTTCCCTCACCTGACCGGGAAGAGGAGGCCTTCCTCCCCCAAGAGCTGCAGCCCCAAGAGGGCGCGCACCCCTCCGAGGAGGCCTTCCTCCCCCAAGAGCTGCAGCCCCAAGAGAACATCATGAGGGCGCGCACCGCTCCCCCCCATCTCCGCCCACTCATTCGCCTTCTGCTCACTTGGGCCCCTAAACACACGGGTACTTGCAGCCCTGGGCTAGCCCTGGAGCCCAGCTCCCCAGCAAACACGGGAAATTAAACAGTTTGCACAGAATGAAATGTGGCCATGAAAGGTGCCTGCAGCTGGTGGTTAACACCAGCAGTAAGAGGATCAAGCTAGTCCGCTGGCTTAAAGGGGGCGGGGGTGAGACGTGTGCGAGCTCCCTTTTACCCATTCACATTAGTTAATTTGGATGATAAGGGTTCGAGTTTAATCCCTTTGTGTGCGAGTGAATATACTGAAATTGACAACCCCTGAGAGGGCACCCCCGCTGGCAGAGCAACCTGCGGGAGGGTGCGGGCTGCGTCCAGTCTGGCATGAAGTAGAACAGAAACTTCTTGAGAAGACAGAAAGTCAGATGGAGAGGGCACCTAGGGGTGCAGACTGAGCTCAGCACCTCCCAGGCGGGAGGCAGGTAGGCTGCTGGCTGTCCCAGCGCCCCACGCAGCACAGGGTGGCCTCTGCGCCCTAGGAGTTCCCTAGTTCCCACGGGAGAGCAGGGCTCCCCCCAGCCGCCTCTGCGAAGAACTAACCACGCTCAAGGGGAGAGCCTGGGGCCTTGCCATCGTCAACAGAGTAGAAAGAATTGAAGGGGAGGTGGAGAGCAGAAAGGAGGTGAAAATGTCTCAGGGGACATCTGGTTTCTCAAATGGAACCGATTAGGAAGAGGCGAGAGCTCCGTGGCTCCAAGTCAGGTCATGAAACAAAAGCCATTTTCATAGTTTCCATCTGCAAGAAAGCTGCCCCCTTCCCGCCCCCCCCCCCACACACACTGCAGCTTCGCCTTTCTGCCCCCAAGGCCTCTGTCTCCCCACCTGTGACATGGAGACGGGGCCACCCCCCCTCCGTGGGACGTGAGGATGACTGTGACGGGGTCCCAGGCAGGAGGGGGTTCAGAGCGAACAGCAGGGCTCACCAGTGAGTCCAGAAGGGTGTCCAGCTCAGGACCAAAGACGTCCCCGTTATTCGCTCTCTAAAACCATAAAAAAGAGATCAACTTCCCTAACTTCACGGAGCCCTTTTCAGTGACAAATATTGATGCCCAAAGTGTCTGCGCTCTCCGGCCCTCAAACGTTAAGAAAAGGCGTCCGCGAAAGGGGGACATAAAAAGTTAACAATGCTGTGAAAATATGTTTGCAGAAAATAGACAATCGTTGGATTAAACGTATTCAAGTATGAAATAATGCCTTTTTGTGTCAAAACTTGGGCGATGGGCGGGTACAAAAGTTCCCTGTGGCAGCTACTTGCTCCCTTTGTGAGCCGTGCGCTTTGGCGTCTCCACTTAGGCGCATTACTCAGAGCCCTCTAAGCGCGATTGTTTCTCCCTTTCTAATGACATTTACCGGATCAAAACATGCTGTTAATTCGATCAGAAGGCTTCACCCTCCCTGACAAAGCCACAATAATTTCTCCTGAAGTTTGTTAAATTGACCAAAATTAGGCAAATGAATAGGGGTCTGCAGGCGCCCCCTCTCGCAGGTGACGTTGCATAATGCTCGCCTGGGCCAGCTGCATGCCCCCTTTTCTTCTCGGCCCTCTCTTCTCTGTGTTGCCCCCCAATCCTCCCACCACCCCCCTCACACCACACACACAAGCCTGCCTGCCTGCCTCTCCTCCCCCACCCTCTGGCATTATTAAAATTTAGCCCAATGAAACTATTCATACTTTTCAATGGGCATTTTCGTATAGGCTAAGAGGCTACAAATTGAGCCTCTTCCCCTCCCCCGTCTCCCTACCCCCGCGAAGAGGGGCCGAGGGGGGAGAAAAGAAAGCGAGCGACGTGGTCAGGGAGAAGGGGGAGCGTCGCGTGCCAAAGGCGGGCGGGAGGGGCGGCGCAGCGCGGAGCCTCGTGTGCCAGCCGCAGCCCACACCTGCCGGGATGTCCGGACAAATGAAGCGGTGTCGACAAAAAGGGGGGGATGGACGTGTCACCAAGTCGTGTGAGAAAAGCCTGGGAACAAACAGGGCGCCTCCGTCTCCAAGGGCTCTCCCTTGAACCCAGCGGAACAGCCTATTAAAGGCTTACTTAATTACTTTAATGGCTCTGGACAGGCTTTAAAGCGCACTGGGCGCTGGGACTGCGCCCTTGCTGGGATTTGTAAACAGGCAATCGTGTGAGACTCGGCGGTGGGACTAAAGGAGGCGACACTGTTTTGTGAGGGTCCTCACCCCCCGGTGCCCGCGGCCGCTGCGTCCCTGCGCTCTGCGCCTGTGGCTACAGGCGCTCGCTCGACACCGGCCCCAGCTACCGCCTCCTTTTCCTGCCGGGGCTGTTGCCATGCAAATGTTATTCCCCGCCAATCACGTGTCCTTTGAAGGGCCACGTGGATTAACAAAGCTCATCTACCCCCAGCTCGCCCCCCTCGGCTGCTAAATTTTTTTTCTTAACTTCTTTAAAACTGATCTTGAATGCATACATCCCTCAAACGCAGCTCTCTAATCCTATGGAATAATTCAACTCGTGAATGCACTTGGAGCCCTGGGTGACCGCTTTATAAGGCAGCCCCTCAGCGCTGGGAGGCGGCAGTCTACCTGGGACCCTGAAAGGGGCGCACGAGTCGGCGAGTGGACCGGTGGACGGTGCCGCGCCCCCGCCTCTCCAGGGCGCGCTCTCACCAGGATGTCAGACAAGCTCAAGGAACGCAGAGTGAGTCGCTGGGGCTGGACGGCTCTTGCGCTCTGATGGTGGGGCACTGACTCCCCAGCGGCCACCTGGCTGGGCCGAGGGCAGGGACGTGACCACGCGTGACTTCTCCTGTAAAGCAGTTCTGAGTGGTTTGGGAAGGGGAGGAGGATGGAGGGAGGAGACTCCTGAACCCGTGAGGAGCCCAGGCCTAGTGGCCACCCCCCATAGCCTTGGCCCTCAGCTCGGGGTGTAGCCCGGCGAGTAGGGAGGCTGGACGGGAGCGCGCCAACACGGTGAAGGAGGGCAGAGCTCGTTTTATCCAAGTGTGGAGAGGCAGGGACCCCTTCCGGGGCGAGCTCCCGGGCAGCACTGGGAGCTGGGAAGCCGGTGGGCAGGGGGATTTCCACTCCCTGGGTAAAGCCATCGGAAATTCACAAACTTCTGTTCGCAGAGAACCCGCGTTTCCCACAAAGTGATAGAAAAGCGGCGGAGGGACCGGATTAACCGCTGTTTGAACGAGCTGGGCAAGACAGTGCCCATGGCCCTGGCGAAGCAGGTAACGTACGGCACTGAGAACAGGGTACTAGATGCCGGGGACCCTCTGCTGCCACCCTCGGCCTAGATGCCGGGGTCCGGGGACAGAGAGGGCCTGTCCGGGAGCCTCCTTCCCCGCCTGAGCGCCGAGTCCAGGCACCGTGCGCGGTGCACAGCAGCCGCTCGCTAGTCCTCTGCA